AGAGAGAGAGAGAGAGAGAGAGAGAGAGAGAGAGAGAAATGAACGAGTTAAGTTATCTGGTCTGTCGTCTTTACCCCAACCCGGAGAGGTTGGGTTGTGAGTCTTCCTTTTCTGCCTGTGAATGATGAGGCTCAGAGAGCAGAGAAGGTCCCAGGATTGTAGCCAGGATTTGCTTATTCATTTAGGCTTTTTGAGACAGGGTTTTGCTATGCAGTTCAGGCTGGCCTTAACTCAGCATGTAGCCCAGGCTGGCCTCGAGCTTGTGGTGATCCTCCTGCTTCAGCCTCCTGAATGCTGGGATGAGAGGTGTGTGCTAGCACAGCCAGTGCTGTAGCCAGGACTGAAGTCCACATCAGATTCAGAAGCAATTGATTCTACCCTGGCAACCTCCTGTCCATGCCCAGCCACCTGAGCACTCAGCTGCCAGCCTTCAGTCTCCCAGTGGCTCCGCGTGACCTGTGACACCCGGTCTCACAAAGCCCAGGGAGCACACTGCACTCTCATGAAGCTCTTCCAACATCACCCTCTCCAGCTGCAGTTAGCCTCAGCCCCAGCTCTCTGCCTCAGCTGCCCTGGTCCCTCTGCATGTCATTATTTGTTTGCATGTTTTAAGAATGAAGTTGAGCTGAGTGTGGTAGCACACACCTGGAATCCCAGCATTCTGGAGGCTGAGGCAGAAGGATTTCCATGAGTTCAAGGCCAGCCTGAAACACATAGTGAGTTCTAGGCCAGCCTAAACTACCTAGCAAGACCCTGTCTCAAAAAAAAAATAAATAAATAAAAAATAAAAACGGAGTGGAGTTGAGCAGCACAGTGCAAAACTCATGGACATCAGCCTCAGATAGACTTAGGGGACCTGTCGCTCTGTCCTTGTCTCTCCTTCACCAGCTCCACCACTTTTGCTCACCATGTGACCTTAGGCATGCGATACACTCTCCCTCAGCCTCAGCTGTCTCTTCTGTAATATGAGGACAATGGCCTTATCTGGCTGAACACTGAAAGGACTTGGGGACAGTGCGCATAAAGTCCCCCAGCCTGGCACATGGTGTGACTGCAGGAAATGGTGGCATGATCTTCCCTTCTTCAGCCTATGAGGACAGAGACCACATCTAGGCTGGCGTTGTCTCCCCTGCAGGGCCACCGTCAATGGCCCCCATTTATGCGGTGGGCGGGAGGTTCACGTTCCAGCCTCTGGCACTGAACCCTACCAGATCCACCACCTGATGCCCACTGCCCCTGGAAAGGTGGGAGGCAGGATGGGGCGTTGCCCAGAGCATCAGTGAGCACCATCTCCCCGGAAACCTGGCTGGGAGGCAGCTGCCATGGAAACCGCTGCTGTCACATGCGCTGGTCTCTCCAGGCCCCAGAGAGAGCATCTCAGGATCTATTTAAGAATTAATAAAATAATGATGGTCTTGCTCACCCTCACTGCCTGCACCCCAGGCTTCTACCCTCTCTCTTCTTCCCTGTCAAGACTTTCCCTGCCCTTGCCACATCCCCTTCCTGATCCTACTTCTCCTTGCTCCTGTCCCCACCAATCATTCCTTCAACTTTCCCCATCCATGTCTGTCTCTCACTTTCTCTCATTTCTGCCTTCCTGTGCTTCCTTGTCATTCCTGTGTCTCTGCTTCCTGTGGCTCTGTCTCTTGGTCTCCCCATCACTATCACAGGTGGCCGTACCTAGGGATGGTCCAGTCTTCTTGGTCCCTGGTCCAAGCCAGTCCAGACCTGTCCTGCTCACCCTGCTTGCTTGGCTTGATCTGTCACCTCCTTTAGACTGCACCCTGAGTCCTGCTGGTGTCTCGGCCCCCACTCACCACCTGGCACACTAGCACACCACTAGTGGGTATGTGTGTCAGAGCCCTGGGAGGGAAGGGGTCTGCGCTGCTTCAAGCTTTGCCTGCTTTTCTTTCCTTGTTTTTATTTTTTAAAAATTGCTCCCACCCCTCCCACCCCCCAAATTTGATCCAAAGGAAATTGCTCAACTGTGACTGCCAGGGCGTTACCATAGTTACCGGGTAGCACTTGTGGCTATGGTAACAGGAAGCTGCCTGTTGTCTCGGCAACGAGCACATTGGTAGGGGATGGCGTGGCCCCTGATTGGTGCAGAAGCAGTGCATTTCCTGAGGGGAGGGGGTCAGATCATCACCTTCTCAGGCCAGATGGGCACCAGTAACCCTTCCTCCGTGAACGGGAAGGCCGCTGTTCCTGCCTCCCGGCACTCAGCTAGCTGCCCCCTCCCCAACAATAATCCTCACATCTTGGCACTTTACCAAGACCTTTTGCATCCCCATTACCTCATGTGATCCCCACAACACCCATGAGAGGAAGGTGAGATGGGGTTCAATCATGAATTCCCTTAGGGTGGTTGGGGGATGGGGCTGTGGGGGGTGTCTCTTAACATCATCTCTTCAAAACATATAATCCCCCCAACTGAAGAGTCTCATGTGGTTCCCAGGGGATTCTTAACCATCTCTGGTCAGTGAATCCTTGAATTAAAAGGTGTTACTGGTTGGAGGGTTGGGAAACCATGCCAGGAGAAGCCTATGCTGGGCTTCAGGGTTTACAGTGTGGGGACCCAAGGGGCCCAGGTTTGGGAGGAAGGTGAGATTGGGTTCGGGTGATATGAGTGGAAGGTTCCAGGGGCCTTTCTAGCCAGGCTGTCCAGCAAGCAGCTGAGAACAGGACATGAGGCTTAGGAAAAAATGTGGGCCGGGATGTGGAGAGCTCTGAGTCATGCCTGTGTGGACACAGCGGCAGTGGGTGTGTGAGCCCATCTCCAAAGAATGAGAAAAGTGGGCAAGCAAGGGCTGGGGGTGGTGCCCTAAACAAATCCGGCACCCTGTGAGGGAACCGGGGAGGGGACAGAGACTGGGATGACGCGGGCTTGGGCATGGTTTCTCCATTTGAGGAACTGTATTGAGAGTGGTTTACTTCAGCTCAGACAACCATGAAATGGTAGAGTTGGCAATAGAGGGCACCAAATCTGATTCATCTAAATAGTACCTGGCCTGAGTCCCCAGTTGTAGACTTAAAACACAAATGCACAGTATCAGTTGCACCCTCCCACCTACCTCCTTTCCCTCAAAGCTTTAAAGTGAGTTCAAAAGCCAGAGAGAGACCTCTTTAGCCATCTCATTCCACCCTGGGCTTTTCCAGAGCCACCTGCCACCTGTCCCTGCAGGTTTTGGTCTTTCTAAATGCCTGACTTTAAGGAAGGGGTCTCAGAGAACATCCATGATCCCAGTGGGAATGGTGGAGGACAGAGTCCAAAAGGGTCAGAGCTCAGCTTCTGAGGAGTCCAGGGGCGGAGACGACTGGGCCACAGGACCAAGCAATCCTGCTGAATACGTGTGTTGCTCCAATGTCTTTCAGATGAATCGTCCGATCCAAGTGAAGCCAGCTGCCAGTGAGGGCCGAGGAGGTAACGTTCTTGTTGACCAACTTCAAGCATTGTCCACATGTAGGGGATGGTGGGCTTATTTCTGGAGCCAGTCCTACCCGTGGCTTCTTTACAGACCTTCCGTGGCTGGGGGAGAGAAAGAGGCCTCAGAATTCCTCAGCTTCAGAAACAGCTCAGCCAGTCACAATATGGTGAGGTCTACAGAACTCAGACCCAGAGACAGGAGTGGCAGAAGCAGATGGGGACAGTGGGAGGGGGCACTCACCACCTTACCCCTGAAGAGCACCCGTTCCCATTCTGCTAGGTAGAACTGAACAGGTTTGCTTGAAGAGTTAGGCTGGAGTTATTCTCCTTGCCAGCTTCTTCTGATTGCAGAGAAGCATTCCACTTTGGATTGAGGCCACTCATTCCTTTGCTGTCCCTGCCTGGTTCATCATGGTGACAGATGAGAATGGGACAGTAGGCTTCGCAAGACGCAGGGAGGACCTGGACTCTATGATGAAAAGCCTAGAAAGTCTGAGAAGTTTTCTTAGCTGCACTCTTTTCTGGTAGAAAGATTACTGCTCTTTAAAAACAGGAGTGGTAAGAAGCTTTCTAACAGTGTGCTGGACTCTGGCTAGCTTCCATTCTCAAAAGGCAGTGTGGGTATCTTGAGTAGTTCTCGATATCTTTCTTGCCCTTGATACTGTATTATTTGAGGACACCTGTCTGTGGCCTTCTTTGATGTCTGCTGCCTCTTCCTTGAATAAGACTCAGACTTCTTCCTATCCACACCTGCATCCTGCCATGGCATCATTGTGCTTTTCAGTTCTCCCGAAAAAACTTCAGGGCTCACGGTGCCATTGTGGCATTCATTTCTCCTGCATATTCTTCTGGGCTTTTGTGGGACTGTTGTGGAGTTCTGTACTCCAGTACATACTTATAGGGCTTTCTGGCACCGTTACGGTTTTTGGTTCTCCAGTAAGAACTCTACTTCCTGAATCCTTTCAGATTCTCTACCTTTGAGCTCGATTTCTGACTTCTGGTTAAGATGTCATCACTCCCACTTAGTCCCGGAGATATATTTCCAAGTTTCCTCCCCTTTCCTCATACATGTCCTCCTTCCAGGCATTCTTCAAGATGCTCCAGGATGCATATAAAACCTCTTGGTCACATGTCCCCAGAATTTCCACTCCTTGGGAAGCTCTGCTAGGCACCAAGGCCTTTGTTGGCTATATTGTAAGCCCTGCTCAAAAATATGAGGAGGTCCCATAGATAAGTCACCTAAGAGAAAGCTGAGAAGCAGACATACTGAGCTGTTTTCATCCAGCCAGCCTTCTTCTGAGGCTAGGAAATGACATGGCCAATTCAGGGTCACAGTTCACTGTGACCAGTACTTCTTAAGGGCAAGTGGGGGGATATAAGCAAGAGCTACCCAACCCCCTCTGCATGCTGGGAGCTCAGGATGAGCTCTCAGAGGTGGTGATATTTAAGAAAAGACCTTGAGGGTAACAGGGAGTAGTCAGAGAAAGGAAGAGAAAGACAGCATGCATTTCAGGCAGAGGAAAGAGCTTCTCCAAAGGCCTCAGAGCTGAGCCCAGCACCGGGAGCCTGAGTCCTGTTCAGGAACTGGCCCCAGGATGTGGCCTCCACATCTCACATGGGCTCTCAGGAAAGTGGGCAGGGGCTCTCCTAGTGCTGCTTCTGCCTGGCCTTGGGACATCAGGCTGGGTGTTAGCATTGTTCCATTCTTCTTGTACAAGTTTCCCAGGTGCCACCTCCATGACACATTCTGCCTTTGCGGCATCCCAGTTCACGCTCAGAGCAGCTCAAGAAGGGACGCAAAGCAGACCTAGCTGAAAAGAGGGCCACCTGGCTGCTGAACTTCCAACCTTAGAAGTGATGGGTCGCACAAATATTTCTTACCAAGTGCACGCCAGATGCATCCATGAATAACCCTTTTAGACCTGTGCGGCTGGATGGATCGTTTATATCCCCCCGATCCTACTTGGGACATGCAAGGTGCGTAGATCAGCTCTTGTAGGACACTCGAGCCTTTATCATTTGTATTTTTATGATTAGCTGACCTGTTACATAACCTTGTTACTAATCAAGTGTGTTCCTTACTTAATCCTAGCCATCATATAGCTCTTCTAGAATGAGTTCAGGGGCCAGGGAGATGGCTCAGTGGAATAAGTGCTTCTCTGGCAAGCGCAGGGGCCTGAGTTCAATCCCCCGTTCTGCCAAAAAAAATAAAAAAATAAAATGAGTTCAGCTGTGCTCAATTTTAATACAGTGTAATGGTCGAGGACATCACCTTTTAAAAGTGCAGTTGAATTTTTGCTTTTGGAATGTAACAAATGAGCCAATCGTGGTGGTGCATGTCTGTAATCAAGAGTCTGAGACAGGAAAATCACCACGAGTTTGATGCCAACCTGGACTACATAGTGAAAGCTTGTTTCACTGCACCCCAAATTCCACCATTTACTTATGGAAAGGATGATTGTATGATTTCTCTTTCTACAAAACAGGGATCAGGGGCTGGGGAGATGGCTCAGTGGAATAAGAGCTTGCCTGGCAAGCTCAAGGGCCTGAGTTCAATCCCCAGTTCTGCAAACAAACAAAACAAAACAAAACAAAACAAAACAAAACACCCAAAAAAAACAGGGATCACTGGCCAAGTATGGTGGGGCACACCTGTGATCCTAGCACTTGGAGGCTGAGGCAGGAATACTGCTTGGGCTACTTAGTGAGTTCAAGGGAGGTGATACCCTGTCCAAAACAAAAACAAAACAAAACAAAACAAAACAAACCAAGGGATAACCAACTTAAATATTATGGGAGCCCAGATGGTTAACCTTAAATGAAACCACCATGTCTTTATAAAATATTGTATTTTAATTATATTAAATCCTGGCAGCTAATTCAACTCTTTTTTTAAAAGACCAACACTGTGAGAACTTAACTAAACTCATCAAATTTGCTTCTTTGGCCCAAAGTCTGCTGTTTCCCCCATCTGTCATAAAGAAGTGCTCCATCTTGCACACATAAGCTTTTAAAAAAATAGTTACTTTATGTTCTGTCTCTTGAATTTTGATGCCAATGAAGAAGAGCAGTAGTAGTCTTAATTTTAATCAATAAGCAGGAGGTTTGTGGTAGAAATAACCAATATGCATAGTATATGTTCTATATATTCTATTCCTTCTTTTTTCCTTTCTTTTTTTTAAACTGGAGATCGAATTCAGGACCTTGTGCTTGCTAGGCAGGCACTTAAGCCTCTGAGCTAGCTCCCTGGTGTGTGTGTGTGTGTGTGTGTGTCTGTCTGTCTCTCTCTCTCTCTCTCTCTCTCTCTCTCTCTCTCTCTCTCTCTCTCGGAGGAAAGGTTTATTTAGCTCACAAGGCAGGGTAGCACATGGCAGAGGGACAACAGTTCAGGCTGGGCTTGAATTCACTATGTTAAGCCCAGGTTGGCCGTAACCTCTGAGCAATACCCTACCTTAGCCCCTGAGTTCTGGGATTACAGACGTGTGTCACTACACCCAGCATAAGCCGATGTCCTACAGCCTGGGGTAGTTACATATCCTCAAACAACACTTCTGGCACTCATTTATACATTAAAGATTCATAGCATCAAAAACCTTTCCCTTTAGCATCTGGGTACATTTGAAGATGAATGTCATTATTATTTCTTTTTCTATAAAGCTTTATTCCAGAGGGGCTCAGTCCTTCTTGGCAGCTGCCTTCCTCATGACGGCCAGCATGTTGCTCAGCTCCTCATGCTTCCTCTTGGTGCAGATGTGCGTCCCCACACTTTTCTTGATGAACTTGAGGGTGAGTTTGTCCTTGGAGACCTTGAGCAGCTCCATGGCACACCACTTGTAGGGGGCGAAGCCGCACACCTCCCGGATCATGTCCCGCATGAACTTAGTGTGTTTAGTGAGGCATCCACAATGGTGACTGTGCCTCAGTTTGCTCACATTTTTAGTCACCTTGTGGCCCTTGTTGAGGCCTATGGCCATGGGATAGCAGAGGGCTATGGCTACTGTTCTTCGATGGTTGCTGTGGTGGAAGGACCAGGCTGAAGATGAACTTAAAATATTTGCCTAATCTGGAGATGGTGGTGTGCTCTATGGTCCCAGCTATTTGGGAGGCTGAGGCAGGAGGATCACTTGAACCCAGGAATGTGAAGCCAGCCCGACCAGCAGAGTGACACCTCCTCTCAAGGGGGGGGGGAGGACAAAAACCCAAGGCTCATGTGTTTCAAAATGTTGAACTTGGGGTGGCTGAGTTCAGAGGTGAGGGCCCCCAAATCCCTCAGACAGTGTTAACCAAATGAATCTGTTTCGTTTGCTGTTTGGCATAGAGACTGCAATTGATTTTTCTCAACTAACATCTCTACTTTGGAAACACTAATGAAAGTTAAATACTAAATACAGTTCTACAGGAAAAGTATTTTTTATTCACAGGGCAAAAAAAAATCTCAAAAATCATTAAACTCTTGTATATTTTTTTCTTTTCTTTCAAATCTCATAACATACAATCAATAAATCCATAGATCAAAATGGTGGTTAGCTTTCCTGATATACTTCCCAGCATGGCTGTATTTTTTTATATAGTATTTATTTATTTGTTTGTTTGTTTATTTATTTGAGACAGGGTTTTGTTGTTTGGTTCAGGCTGGTCTCAGACGCACAGCAGTACTCCTGCCACACCCTCTTGAGTACTGGAACTACAGGTGTCCACCACTACTCTCAACTTAGTTTTTTTAAATTATTTTTTTACTAAAAGTACTTAAGCTGGGGAGATAGCTTGGTGGCATAAGCACCTGCCTGGCAAGCACAAGGTCCCAAGTTCAATCTCTGGTACCACAAAACAAACAAACACAAAAAAAAAAAGAAGAGGAAGAGGAGGAGAAGGAGGAGGAGGAGAAGGAAGAGGAAGAAGAAGAAGAAGAAGAAGAAGAAGAAGAAGAAGAAGAAGAAGAAGAAGAAGAAGAAGAAGAAGAAGAAGAAGAAGAGAAGTCGAAAAGTAGTATTGGTCTCAGAACTTTTGCACTGAGGCATATCTCCAGCCTATTTATTTATTTATTTATTCACTTATTTCAATGTATTTGGTACAGGATCTCACTACGAAGCTCAGACTCATAGTAATCTTGCTGTTTTCAGCCTCCCCAGCTCTGGGATTACAGCTATCCGCCACCACACCCGGTCTCGGTGGCCAGCTCAGTGCACCCAGGGTCAGGGCCAGTGCTGCCTGTGGTGCTGGGGATGGGACTGCACCCCAGTCGCTGCTCTTGCCTCCGCAGCCACTTAGTCTGCTGAGCTATCTTGCCAGTCCTGGAAATTTGATTTAAATTCTTGGCTAGCGCATTTTCCCTTTTATTACCAGCCTATAACTGTTCAATTTCTGCCTGAATTTCTAAGGATTCAGGTAGACAGCAGTATGCATTCTTTTTTAATTTTGAGCAATAAATATGTATTACTATCTAATCATCTTTTCCAAATTTCCTCTAGGTTTCTACTTTATTTGGTGTTTAACAATTAATCTTAAAAAAAAAATCTTGAAGGTAAACTTGAAGTTTTTGTTGTTTATTTGGTTTTCATTTTGTTTGGGTTTGGCTTGGTTTCTGAGACAGGCTCTCACTATATAGTTCAGACCGGCCTTGAACTCACTGCGCAGCTGTCCAGCTGTGTCTCAGCTGTGCGCTGATGCCACCTCTCAGCTGCTTGCACTGAGTTTCCATGATGATACTGCCACCTTTCTAGGGACCAAGCACCTCCTTCCTCACCACCGCCACCACGCCATGGAGTGTTCTTACGCAGACACTTTCTGCTTATCTTTTATAGCATCTGTTTTTTTAAAATATATTTATTTGTGTGTGTGTGTGTGTGTGTGTGTGTGGGGCCAGCTCAGCCCACCAGGGGGCGGGGCTGGCTGGCATGTGGTGCTGGGGGATTGAACCGCCGTCCCTGTGCTTTGCTAAGTATAGCATCTTTTTTAACCAAACTGGTAGAGTTTGACCTAGAGGAAATTATTAACTTCACTTGGTCCATTCTTCTACTTCACTGTCAACCGGACTTCAGCCTGAGTTCTAGGATCTTGACAGTGATGCCCGAAGCCAGGTTCCCATGCACCCCATCGCTCCCCGTGAATACTGTCCCACATAGGGCAGGAATCCAGACTTACCTTGGCGCAGAGTAGAGCCAGACTTGAACATCAGGCCGAGTGCATCTCTCGCTCAGGCTCCTGTGAGTACCAGCTGTGCAGCTCATGCCTGGTGCCTGGCCCCTGCCCTCCAGGGTATGTGCAGGGGCCACGGGCTCACTCGCAGTTCTTCTCCAGCACCTCTGCCCTCTCCTGGAAAGCACAGACACACTGAGGCATCAGACATTTTTTTTTTTCACGTGGTCATCCAGGTCCATGGGCAGGATTTGTTTTCCATCCCATGAATCCTTGGGGAAGAATTGGGTGGAGGACAAAGGAAGTCAGAGAGAAGGAAGTTGGCAGGGGGAAGTAGCCGTGGAGCAGTGAGGACACGGCCATGGGCTCAGCAAGTGTGGTGTGGAAGATGCTAATGTTTTTTTTGTTGTTTTTTTTTTCTTTTCAAAGTTTTATTGATAAACATATAGCAATGAGACAGTTTCAAATCAAATCGAAAGGAAGATGCTAATGTTGAAGGTGCAGAAACCCAAACTTCTGTAGCCTTGGCAAGGTACTGGCTTGGATTGAGATTCTTCATCCCAGGGTTTAGTGTCTGGGTTGAGGCGATGGGAGAAGACAGCTGTTTTCTGTATGGTGCTTTACCAAGAATCCTTGATTTGAGCTTGGCTCCAGCCCTTGCCACCAGGCTAACTAGCAGAACTAGTGCACTAACCAGGGTAACTGGCAGAAGTTCTCTTCTCTGGGTGTGATGTGAATACAGAGGCCTCTGAGGAGCCCCCGCTTCAATACAACCCAAGTGGTCTTTTGGGAAACGCCATTTCCCAAACTCTAACAGCAAAGTCAAATGTATAAAATGCCGCAGACAGAGTTGAGGAAATAGTTCAGGGGAGGACAGCCTGCTTGGCAAGCATGAGACCTGGGTTCCATCCCTAGTACCAAAAAGGAAAAAGAAAAAAGAAAAAGAAAATAACGCATAAAGAGGCCCTACTCACTCTGAAATCTCACAACGGTCGCAGCCACTCCCCACAGGAGCAGCAATGAGTGTTTCTAGTTTCTGCGGGCCCAGGGTTTTCTTTCTTTCTTTCTTTCTTTCTTTCTTTCTTTCTTTCTTTCTTTCTTTCTTTTGCTGAATCGGGGATTGAACTCAGGCCCTTGCGCTTGCCAGGGAAGTGCTTATTCCACTGAGTCATCTCCCTGGCCCCAGGGTTTTCCTGATGGGAATCTGAGCTGATCCCCCTGGAAATCACCTTGTTCCTAAGGGACCCTTGGTGGCCCAGGGCCTTCTCAGTTCTTTCTCCCTGCCCCTCTTTCCAGAGCTAGAGTTCTGAGCTACCTTCCATGCTCCCCTGAGGAGCTTAGGAGGGCCAGAAGGCCTCAGGTCATTATCCCTGGCTTTGTCCCCAGAGGACCGGAAGCTGTTTGTGGGAATGCTGGGCAAGCAGCAGGGCGAGGAGGATGTCAGGCGCCTGTTCCAGCCCTTCGGCCACATCGAGGAGTGCACAGTCCTCCGGAGCCCGGATGGCACCAGTAAAGGTGACCCGAGCTGGCCCCTGGGGTTTCCTGGTGGCTCTTTCTCTCCATGTGTCCTTTTGGCCTCTGTGACCTGAGCTACCTGATCCCTGCCCCCTGCCCAGGCTGTGCCTTTGTGAAGTTCGGGAGCCAAGGAGAAGCCCAGGCGGCCATCCAGGGTCTGCACGGGAGCCGGACCATGGCGGTGAGGCTCGGGCGCGGTGAGGCGGGATGGACTGCTCTCCCTGTGGAGGTGCGTGGGGACCCAGGTCACAGCTGGATGGGTCAGGACTGTGGCTTCCCTACCTGCTGATCAGGGGGCCTCGTCCAGCTTGGTAGTGAAGCTAGCGGACACCGACCGGGAGCGTGCACTGCGGCGCATGCAGCAGATGGCCGGCCAGCTGGGTGCCCTGCACCCTGCACCGCTGCCCCTCGGGGCCTGCGGAGCCTACACCACCGCGGTAGGTGCCTGGTCCTGGGACAGATGGCTGGGCTGGTCATCTGGGTTGGGGGTGCCCCTGCAGAGACTCCCGTGAATACCCCTTTTTCTTCCCGAAGATCCTGCAGCACCAGGCAGCCCTGCTGGCAGCGGCCCAGGGTCCAGGCCTTGGCCCAGTGGCAGCTGTGGCAGCCCAGATGCAGCACGTCGCAGCCTTCAGCCTGGTGGCTGCCCCTCTGTTGCCAGCAGCAGGTAGGGGCCCCTGGGATTGGGCTGCAGCTGGGAGGACCAGGTGTTCTACAACCTAACCCAGCCTCCTGTTCCACCATCAACAGCCAACTCCCCACCTGGAGGTGGCCCAGGCACCCTCCCTGGTCTCCCCGGACCCATCGGGGTCAATGGATTCAGTCCCCTGACCGCCCAGACCAACGGGCAGCCGGGCTCCGACACGCTGTACAATAACGGGCTCTCTCCCTACCCAGGTGGGCCACTGAAGTGGAGTAGGGAGCAGGGGATGGAGGGCAGGGCCCTGCTTCTGGGGAAAGGATTCCACTCCTTCTCCTCCACTCTCTACTCTCCCCACATCTCTCACTGGGCCCTGCCCACCTGCCTTCACCATGGGCCTGGCTCCTCTCTCCCCAGCCCAGAGCCCTGGCGTGGCTGACCCCCTGCAGCAGGCCTACGCTGGGATGCACCACTACGCAGGTTTCACTGGGCACTGCGCGGGCCTGGGGGGTGACGGGCCCCAGAAAGGAACAAGGAGATCGTGGGGGGCCTAGGCTGTCTTCCCAGGACTTGACCTTCTCATCCTGCTCATGCCCAGCCCCCAACAACTTCTCTTGGGGTGAGGGTTAGGGTAGACTGGGTTGAGCTGGTGATGAGGGAGATGGGGCCCTACTTGGGTTGGCTATGGGGTCAGTGCCCACTCCTGACTCTGTCTCCAGCAGCCTATCCATCAGCCTATGCCCCAGTGAGCACAACTTTTCCCCAGCAATCTTCAACCCTGCCCCAGCAGCAAAGAGAAGGTGAGGAACTTGGGGCTGCGGAGTCAGGGCAGGTGGGGCTGGACCAGGGCCTCCCCTAAACCAGCCTGCTCCTGTCCCTGTAGGCCCCGAAGGCTGTAACCTCTTCATCTATCACCTGCCTCAGGAGTTTGGGGATGCAGAACTCATACAGACCTTCCTGCCTTTTGGAGCTGTCGTCTCTGCCAAAGTCTTTGTGGATCGCGCCACCAACCAGAGCAAGTGTTTCGGTGAGCGGAGCCCCAGCCCTGGGGCTCTCCCCATCCTAGCCAGGTGGAAGCTGCCCCCCAGACCCTACCCACAGCCATGATTTCTGGAGGCTGAATGTACAACACATAGTGGGGGCACATTTTAGCCCAGGGACATGCCTAGACTTAGAAGAAGCCTTATTTCATGTTCCTCTGGGAAGCTCGGGTATTCTAGGTGTTCAAGCAGAGCAGGTGAGGGCTTTTGAGTTTGGCCAAAGCAGGTGCTTCCTGGGCTGGGACCTGAGATCCCTGAAGCCCCAACTGAAGGTCTAAGGACCAGAGGGAATAGTGGAGAGAGACAGCCAACTGGGGCCAGGAACAGATGGGAGAAATCCCACCCAAATGCCATCCCCTCCCCACACAGTCACTTCTTGTCCTTCCAAGAATCACAACTTTGGGAATCTCAGGCAGTTTGCCCTTATGAGTGTGTGCCCATCTCTCTGCCCACACATGAACAATGGGCCAGGGAGTTGAGGGGCTGGGAGATGAGTGGACTAGAGAAAGGCAGGCCTGCCAGGCAGGGCTCTCTGCTAACCTCTGTGCCATACCCATCTCCCAGGGTTTGTTAGTTTTGACAATCCAACCAGTGCCCAGACTGCTATTCAGGCCATGAATGGCTTTCAAATTGGCATGAAGAGGCTCAAGGTCCAGCTAAAGAGGCCTAAGGATGCCAACCGGCCTTACTGACCTGCTCTCGCTGAGAGGTGAGTCCCCTCGGATGCTCTCCTCACTTGATGTGCCTTTGGGGAGATCAGAGGCACCCACCTCTGAGGAAGACCGGGACAAAGAGAAGAGCCAGGAGCTAGGAGGAAACCCTGGACAGGGCTGTGCTTCGTCCGGAGGCCTGAGATCCATCACATAGCACTCTGCTGGTCTCTGTAATCTGAGAAAAGCGAGTTTGGCAACATTTAGCTGGTCCTACTCCAGAGAGGAACAGGGAGAGAGCCTGCATGTATGGAGGGGCCAGAGGAATGAGGCGTGGGCCAACCTGGGAGGGGCTTTCAGGTCACGCATTCAACTTCATACTGCAGGTGGGGTCTGAGCAATAAGAGACGAGATGTAAGTCCTGTGATGACGGCAATGAACATGCAGATGAGGGCACAGAGCATGCTACCCATGAGGGACCTGCAGGGCCTGGTGGGCCAGGAGCAGAGGGCGGCCACCTTCTAGGTTTCTACAGGGCCATGGGTCTGCAGGAGGCCCCTTGCAGACCTCAGCAATGTGCTGTCTCTCCAGGGCGTTTTGGCTCCTCTGGACATGAGCTGCGGCCAGGGACTCAGGTCTGGCTTTGGTGCAGGGGGCGGTTCCCAGGAAGAGAGAATCAGCTGCTCGCTGGTGTGGCCCCAAGAGTGCAGGCTGCCTTGGCCTGGCCCTCAGGGGTGACTTTTGACTTTCACCCAAGGGCAGACACTGAAGAGCGAGAAGAACGCAAAGGAAAAGCACATAAATGTCGGAGTGGCCCTTCCTAAGGGAGCAGTTGCGGATGGACAGAGGCGGATCAGACCCAAGGCCCGCGCCTGGGGCTCAGGCCCCTGGACACCGTTTCTGATCAAGTGGGTTGTTCTGCAACTGGCCTGCAGCCGAGCAGCCAGGCACCAAGCACTGACTGTCTAGGGGAGGGCCGACGGCCTGGGGGTGCCAAGGGCTTCCCCGCCAGGGGAGCCCAGATTTACTTCTTTCAAAATCATATCATTCCTTAGAGTTTAGGGACCAAAGGACTATTGCTTTTTTAAGAATATATATCTATATCTATATCTATATATAAATTAAAGAAACAACAACAAAAAAAAAAAAACCACACAAGAGAAACAAAAAAGTATAGAGTCTAATAAAAGCTGCCTTTAACTATCCCTAGGAGACAGGGTGAAGGGACCCTTGCTAGCCGAGCCCAGGCAGAGGGGCCTGTGGAAAGATTGTTCTGTGTCTCATCCCTCCTGAACCAGCCCTGGCTCCTTTTCAACCCAGAAAGGACTTGAGGCCTAGGCTCATCTTCAGGGCACAAGCAGGGTACGGAAGCAAGCAGTGACCCCACAATCCACTGCCCCAACTCAGACAGCAGCCCCAAGAGGCACTGTGAGGAGTTCAGGCCTGCATGGCCATCGCCAGCCTGAGAAGTCCCCTAGTCAGCAGGAGGGGGACCTTCCTGTCCTCGATGGCCTTCCTGTGGAACCACTGCTGCCCCAACAAGGACGAGAGAGAGGGAGAGAGGGATTGGGCCACCTGAGACTTTTCTTTCTGGTCTGGACAGACAGAGGCCTTGCCCTTGGCTGAGCTGGGACACCTCCTGTGTCCCCTCCCCTTGAGCCAGCCCCCATTTCCTCTTGCTCCAGGCCATGTTCTGTCTCTTAGTCTAAGTCTGTCTACCTGTAAAGTAGTTTTGAGGTGTGCATAGAAAGCAGTGAGCACAGGTAGGGAGGTTCGAGACTGTATATACTGCCATTGAGGAGGGGATCATTTTCACTATGTAGAAGCTTCAGCAGTAGAGGTCCCTCTTTACCCAGGACCCGGGCAGGAAGTAGATGTTTTGCCAAAATCCTTCTTCATTCCCTTTCGAGGTACATGTTTCCTATGCAAGAGTGTCTCCTCTGTGCTTCCCCACGGTGGTTCTAGACGGTGAGCAATGCTTGGCTTAGAAGTGCTGTGTGCGCCGTCTGTCCGTCTCTGTCTGTCTGTTGTATACAGTGGGTGCCATATAAAACTGATCCGTGGTGGTGCTTCCTGCCTGCTTCTGTGAGATGGGCCACGCTGCAGCCCAGAACACCGTGACGCACCTCGCCCTGCCCAGCCCTCCTCAGGCCCGCAGGGCTTTGCACATGCTTTACCCCGGGGCCTGGGGGTGATCGTTTCCCTCTGCCCCACAGACATGGATCCACCTAGTCCCGGCTCCAGATGTGCTGGAGCAAAATATTGCTGGGGCTGGAGACCTCTGATCTGACGTTACTCAGCCAGCCAAGGTTGTGGGGCTGGGGTGGGAAGGATCTTCCTTCGTAACAGTTTCTAAGAAAACTTGTTCCCACCTGCTCCTCTGTCTTTGGCTCGTTTTTGGAAGGCCTGGGGATGAAGACTAGATAAGACAAGGAGACTACCAGATAAGGTGCGGTGTGTCTGCAGACGATTTCCAGCTGAGAGGGAAACCAGCGCACACCAACCCAGTTGGGAGACACAGACACAGAAGGGCAGAGCACCTGCTCACGCAGACAGACACCACACAGAAGGACAGAGTCTGCAGCGTAGGGGCCAGCACTGCGAGGTGGTGGGGCGCGGGCACAGGCACACGTGAGCATCGGCATTCCGGGGATAGAGAGACCATAGACCGTTGCAGTGGAGCGTTGCAAAGGCCTACGCTGGCGAGAAGAGCACCTAGCTACGGCATACTCATGAGACATCAAGACAGACATCTGAAGGAGGCTGAGGGGGCAAAGCCGGCAAGGATGTGCTAGGACATTTGGGCAAAGCCTTTGGACAACGGCATATTTTTGAAAATTTATCACTGTTGACAAGATTAATGATTACCATTTATTTCAGTGTCTGTCATGGTACGGAGAGAGGATGTAGGACAAGATGCTGTTCCCAATCCCATCTCTATCCTAAACCTTGTTACTGAGTCCCATCAAGACACTCAAAGGAAAATGGCATTTAAAGGGTTTTTTTGTTTGCTTTGTTTTAGACAGGGTTTTGCTATGTGGTCCTAGCTGGCCTTGAACCCACCGTGTAGCCCAGGCTGGCCTGGAACTTGTGGTGATCCTCCTGGTCAGCCTCCTGAGTCCTGGGGTTACCAGGGTGTGTACCACCCATGGCCTTAAAGTATTTTGCTACATACTTTGGGATAAGCTAGAGAGTCAGTGGATGACACCAAAGCTGCAGAGTCTGGGATGATCCACATCAGGGGTTGGCAAAATATAGTCTGGGGCTTATTTTATTTTTTGATACAGGGTCTCACTATGCAGTTCAGACTCATAGTGATCCTCCTGTCTCAGCCTCCCCAGCGCTTATCCCAAGCAGGGTATGGAAGTGCCACCATGCCCATTTTGGGCACCAGCATGGAGTGGGGTCGGCATAGCATGAGGTACTGGAGATCGAACTTGGGACCTTGCACTTGCCAGGCAGGCCTTTATGCTGCCACACTACATCCCCAGCCCTGTTTGGTTTTTTTTTTGGGGGGGGGCGGGGTATTTTTATATGACCTACTATCATGGTTTTTGGGTTTTGCAAGGGGAACAATAAAACAGGATACATTTTATAAGGTTATTTTATAATCACTCAAAGAATCACACACAAAGGGTGCAGGAAATCTGTCCA